TGAGATGAGATGTGCCCCCCTTGGGGATGTGTATTTTTTGAGTAGGGAGATTATCCTCGTTCCTTGAGATGAGATGTGCACCCCCTTGGGGATGTTTTATTTGGGGAGTAGGGAGATTATCCTCGTTCCTTGAGATGAGATGTGCACCCCCTTGGGGATGTTTTATTTTTTGAGTAGGGAGATTCTACTCGTCTCTTGAGATGTGATGTGAACCCACTTAGGGTTGAGAGGTAAGGGTCATGCCCAACCTTAGGATGGGGATAATTTACCACTGTAGGATGAGGCGTTCGAGACCTATGGTCTGAGGTGGATGCGCACGGTTGTGCCATTGGTTCGCGCGTGCGCGTCAGACCCTTTTTACTGTTTTTGAAGTAGGGACGTGAAACACTTGATGAGATGTGAAACCCCTTGGGGTTGGAAGGTAAGTGGATGTACCACCCTTGAGATGAGATGCCCAACTTTAGGATGTGATAGCCCCCCATTTAGGATGAGGCAATCACGAACATCTGGGGTGAGATGCCCAACCTTGGCGATATATGGTGCCACTGATTCAGTGGCAGCACGAGTTGAATCTTCCGTGATCATACGCTGAAGGTCTTCTTCGGTTATTTGAACCGTTAGTAGTAAGTAGAAATTGATCATGTTGAGGACCCAGTGGGGCCTCACGAGGAGGAGCGTTGGCTCCTGCTATGACGAATGAAATGTTTTGGGGGCGATGTGAAACCCCAGGGAGTCGATAACCCTTGGCGAACGAAATATTTTGGGGGCAGATGTAAGCCCCCAGGGAGTCGATAACCCTTGGCGAACGAAATATTTTGGGGGCGATGTAAGCCCCCAGGGAGTCGATAACCCTTGGCGAACGAGATATTTTGGGGGCGATGTAAGCCCCCAGGGAGTCGATAACCCTTGGCGAGCGAAATATTTTGGGGGCAGATGTAAGCCCCCAGGGAGTCGATAACCCTTGGCGAGCAAAATATTTTGGGGGCGATGTAAACCCCCAGGGAGTCGATAACCCTTGGCGAACGAAATATTTTGGGGGCGATGTAAGCCCCAGGGAGTCGATAACCCTTGGCGAGCGAATATTTTGGGGGCAGCTGTAAGCCCCCAGGGAGTCGATGGCGGTGGTGCCATAGGTGGCTCCACATGTGGAGCAGGGGCTGGTATCGCGTCGGGAGCATTTGCTCCCATCGTGGCGATATATTGGGTCACGGCCTCTGTGGCAGCGCGAGTTGAAGCTTCTGCTATCATGCGTCGAAGCGCATCCTCGGTTATTTGAACCATTCGAGGAGCAGGGAATGGTGGATCGGCGAGTGGTGGGTCCCGAGGGGGGATCACCTGAACCTCGCGAGGCGGATCCATGGGATGTGGAGGAGGTGGCAAGCTAGAGCCTCCACAAGGTGGGAGGTCGTTAGCTGTGTCATTTTCTCTCTCCGAGCAGACGCCTCAGGAGGATCTTGTTGGCTACGTGATCTGGTTTGCCTATTTCCCACAGACGGCGCCAATATGATGATGCTAAAATATAGCTCTCCTAGGGTAGTGTAGAAAATGAGTTGGGAGAGCAAAGCAGATCAGTAGCTTGATATCTTGATGATCCTGAGGTCCCTGCACAATTAGCACACATGAACTAAGACGGGGGTTGATCCGGCGGAAACCCCTCCGACGCTCAAGTCAGACATGCTGATAGTAGAAATAGTCCAGAGAATACGTATTGTAGTATTGCTCAGTTAATAGGACGTACCTTAATCAAATGAGTAAAACCTCTATTTATATGTCGTTTATTGGGTTGGGTTTGCTTTGTTGGGCCCAAGCCTTACTTGAAGGTGTTTGGGCCTCGGTGATATTAGTCTTTGATATTGGGCTCGTAGCCCAGTAGGTAAAGAAATTGTAGGCCCATTGGGTTGGCCCAATTAGGCATATCAATATATATATATATATATATATATATATATATATATATATATATATATATATATATATATATATATTTGACATGTACCAAGAATTGGTTAGGGCCATGACTAACCATGAATGTGGGAGCAAGAAAAAAATGAATAAGATTGTTCACGTGTGTGTGTTGGAACTAAATATTGGTGCCAAAATCAAAATCACATGATTCTGGCAAACCCTAATCCTATCTATATATCTACTTCTCTGTATATTGAATATTGAACCATATACATATTTCCATGAATCAACAAATCTTATGAGAATCATCTTTTATGTTGTTTTGAAATTTGAATCAACCACTTAGCTATTTTAAGAGCCTACACTTGTTACCACATTATATTGTACTAATATTTTCTCGTACTGTATTTACCCCCGATAAAATAATATTACTTCTAAAAAAAATTGTCCCAACCTGGATCAATTGTTACATGCTCACTTATTTCAACTACTAGGTCATCATTTACCGGAACATTAACTTCGTACACTTGTAATAAAACTAATACATGTGCTTTTCGAAAATTAAATGTGAAGCAATTAAAATAAATAAATGAATTGTATCTCAAACCTTATGCATGTGGAGGAAAACCAACTAATTAATTAAATACCTAAGATAGATTAAGGTTCGGTCAAACAATTTTTTCACTTTTTATAATGAAGCTCGTGGTTTAATTTAAGAATATTATATTAAAAAAAATTGAGCAAAAAGAGAAAAGATACAGGAAAATTAAAAAGCAAGAAATAAACAAGGCACGTGCACGTGTATGTATTTGTAAACGAGATCAATAATTCATTTCACATGTGTGGGTGGCCCTTTTCAATTATTAATCTACTATTTTTTTTTATTATTTTTTTTTTATAATAAATATAATTTATTAGTATTAATAAATAATAAATATGCATGCTTCTATTTTGTTTTTCATCATCCCTATCCAATCCGTTAGTGTCCAGACCTCACATGGCTTTCAATGCACTTGATCTGTTTAAAATAGTATTTTATAAATGTCAATTTTCAATTTTTTATTACCATTTTACATTATTTAATTAAAAACATATAATCAATTTTAATTTATAAATATTTTATATATAATCCAACTCATGAGATAGAGGCCAAAATAATTACGTGACATAATTATAATGAAGGATTTGGAATGGTCCAACTTATTGTACCCCATTTTTATAGTAAAAGGATATCAATATATAATTATATATAATAATTATACAATTAAATGATATTTACAAGAGGACTAAAAAATTTCCTTTCACCGAATTTAATGTTGTATACTTAGGTTTTGGTCTTGCTTAATTAAGCAACTGTAGTTACAGTGCTTTATAATATCGCTAAATATTTGTTTGTTCAAAAATATAGGATTAATTAATTACCTCTTTTAATGTGAACAGACCATTATTGTGTTTATTTATTTATTTGAATATGTTTATTGTAAAATGGAAATAGAAAAATTGAACTTTTTTCAAAAAAGGAGCATGCATAGTTTATATAGTAATTAGCTAGATAAGTGTACTTAATTAGTAGTAATTGATTTAATAAATTTTAACAATGACAAATCTTTTGGTGTTAGTAGATGAGTTTTACTTTTATTTTATTTTATTTTTATTATCATGAATTTTCCATTTTGTTGATTTTGTCTGGGCTTTGTTTGAAACCATTTAGTCTTTAAATAGTTATGAATTTAACGGCCCGAAGCCCATTAAGGCACACAAAGTTGAGACAGTTGGGATTGGTGGGAGAGATTGTTGGTGCAAAATGCAATTAACAGATAGTTCAGGGGCACCAATGTAAAAGCAAATCAAGCATGTAAATACTGAGTAAATACTGACCGGTGCTTTAGGTACAAAATGGTCCCTCTATTTAGAAAGAACTATTCCCTTTTGTACCCTATTTGTCCTCTGTTAAAATAAGTAATTACTAATCAACTTATATATATTTATTCAAAAATATTTGTAAATAATTAAATCAATTTAGACTCACAAGGTCAATTTATTTATTTAATAACTAAATAATAAAATTATAACTGTAGTAAAGTAAACTAAGTTAACCTACTTTTAGTGGTATTCTCATTTACTTAATGTTTTCCTTGTGTCATTAACAATCGATGGTTTAATGTTCATAATTGCGATTGATTGTCACCTTAAATTATTGGGGCAACATAATTAAATTTGGAAATCAAATAGTATCTAAATTATTTGTCATTTGCAACACAAATTAATATCCAACACTAATTTCTCGAAAAATATTATGAAAATAAATATGATTTATAAAAAGAAAAGAAAAAGGAAAAAGAAAAAGAAAAAAGGGAGAGAGTGAAATATAATGGTAATAAAAGGGAGCATTAATTAGGGGGTGGAAAATAATTACGGCCCCTGCCCTTTGCGACACTCAACCAGACCAGTGGTGGGGGTGGGGGGCAGTAGCCCTCCCTCCATAAGTACCCCCTCACCTTCCTCCCGCTTTCCATTCGCCTCCAACACTAAACTCCCCTTTTCTCTTTCTCTCTCTAAAAAAAATAACTCCATTGTAGAGAGAGAGAGAGAGAGAAGAACAACAAAAAATGCCTCCTGCTATGAAGTTTCTCCTCTGCTTTGCCACCGTCCTCTGTTTTCTGACCTCTGCTCAGGCCAGAATTCCCGGCGTCTACGCCGGAGGACCCTGGGAAACAGCCCACGCCACCTTCTACGGCGGAAGCGACGCCTCCGGCACCATGGGTACGTGTACCCCACACATTCCATTTCCTTTTTCTACTTATTTACTCGAAAAAATCTTCTTATAACTCACCTTCGTACGGTTTTCTTTTTGGGTGTATTCAGGCGGTGCTTGTGGGTACGGAAATCTGTACAGCCAGGGTTACGGTGTGAACACGGCGGCGCTGAGCACGGCGCTGTTCAACAACGGGCTGAGCTGCGGAGCCTGCTTCGAAATCAAGTGCGACGCGGCACAGGACTCCAAGTGGTGCAACCCGGGCAGCCCGTCCATTCTGGTGACGGCCACCAATTTCTGCCCGCCCAATTTCGCGCTGCCCAACGACAATGGCGGGTGGTGCAACCCACCCAGGACTCACTTCGATCTCGCCATGCCTATGTTCCTCAAGATTGCTCAGTACCGCGCCGGCATCGTCCCCGTTAACTTCCGCCGGTAATAACTCCTCACTCTTCCCTAGGTTAATCTTTCAAGGGTAGTTCTGTCTTTTCACTGCCTTGGTAGTTAGTATTCTGACTGCGCATAGTGTCTGCGGTAGGGATAACTGTGGACAGAACTGCCCTTTGTGCAGAATATGGTTTTTTTTTTTTTTTTTCTATTACATTTATTTTATTCCTTTTTTTTAATTAGGGTTCTAATTTTTTATGATTAGTTTTTGTCCGAATCTGCTGAATTTTAGTGTCCTGAAAACTTACAGAATCCATTCTATCCACTGCAAATGCTTTATTCGGTGGTATAAAATATAAATTAACGAACTTCCCACCGCCGCTAATTTTTACATCGAGGGTAGTTTTGTCATTTTAACTACTCTAACTGGACTAAAATGCCCACTTGCTTTCACCACCGTAGAAATACTGTAGCTGTAACCATAGAGGGTTTTTATTGTCCTTTCACAGTCAAGCATCCCCAACCAAAAAGTTTAAATATCAGTAAATTATGTAACTACTTACCAAAGGGCATTAATGTAATTTTATACCTGGTAATTTGTTGCCGTGAAATATGGAATTGGCGTGCTTCGGGTTCACAGAGTCACGATATCCCACGCGCTTTCGGGGGCCCACAATCTACATTAAAAAGCGCACCTTACCGGAAATACCGGTCAAACCTAGGGTTCCTCCTCAGTGAAAAGATAAATAAATAATTTGAACTTTTGATATAATATTGCAGGATACCGTGCAGAAAACAAGGAGGGATGAGGTTCACAATAAACGGATTCCGTTACTTCAACTTGGTATTGGTAACCAACGTCGCGGGTGCAGGGGATATCGTGAGGGTGAGCATCAAAGGTACAAACACACAGTGGATATCCATGAGCCGTAACTGGGGGCAGAATTGGCAATCCAACGCAGTACTGGTGGGCCAGGCCCTGTCCTTTAGAGTCACAGCAGGTGACCGTCGCACATCAACTTCAATCAACGTGGCGCCACCTCATTGGCAGTTCGGCCAGACCTTCACCGCCAAAAACTTCCGTGTCTAAAAACATCATTCACCAGTGACCCGACCCGACCCTACCCGCCCCTTCAAATTCTCTCTTTTTACCCGGGAAGAAATTTGATGAGGATTTAAAGTTATAAAGTTTTAAAAAGTAAAGTAGGAAATTACTATAGGATTAGATCAACAAGTATTATTGGCTTGTGTGTGTGTGTTTCTTTTTTTTTTTACCACTTCGGTAAAATGAGTTTGTTACTTTTTTACCTTTGTTTTGTGCTTAAAAGTGAAAAAAAAAAAAAAAAAAAAAAAAAGCAGCGGAGGGGGGAAAGTTGTGGGGGCTGAAGCGGCTGCAGAAAAAGGAAAGAAATGTAGCCCGCAGCTTCTAATTGTTGTAGTGTGTCATGGACTCATCATATATATATTTATTATATAATGCTTCTACTACATATATTTTATATATATTTGACAATGTTTCACATTTACTTTTTTTTAATGTGTTTTTGTTTGTGTAATTGTTTGATTCTTGAGGTATCCCTTTTTTGAGTTGTTGGGAGAAGTAAATGAGTTGAGATGTGTTTTACTCTAATTTAACTCAATTTTCCGGAAAATAATTAAATTAGATGTTACACCAGAATATTTACATCGGATGACTATTAGCTGTAAATGTGCTCAATAATTGCACTAGCCCATGTATATGTGCGCTTAGCGAATTGTTAATAACTTTATTTACAGTTGACGACCTAAATAATATGGTGTAACATTTAATTCCTCGACTTAGTTGAGAGGAAACAAATTTGGCGAGCCTTTGCGACCTATTTGCAGTGTGACTAAATTAATCTTCCAACTACTTCCTCAAGGTATTTCAACCGAACATTATCAACAAAAGAACAGAATAAAAAAATTAAAAAAAAAAATAAAAAAAAAAATAAAAAAATCGAAGAAACAGTGAAAGTTAGGCAAGAACCCTAGGAACTATTTGTAATGGTGACGAGTTAACTCATCTACTTGTACAATAAAAAGTAAATGAAATTAAGGGCAACTACTGCACTTGGGCCTCTATAATTTAAGGCAGTCCCCTAACAAAATCTCTAACAAGATACGCGGCCGACCAACCCAAATTTAAGGACACCCACACCATTTCTCCACGTCCAAGTTTATATTTGATGAATAAATTGTGTGTTGTAAAAATTATCTACTACTATTATTTACCATAATTGAGCTTTAATTACTTCTAATTTTATGATGTGAGCCTTTAATGTAAATGTGCTCAACTAAAATTACTAAAAGACTAATTAATTTATATATTGGTACATGGTTTCTAGTTTCCTATTTTGATATGTATAATTGGGTCAACTTATTGGGCCTACAATTCCTTTACTTACTGGGTCACGATCCCAATATTGAAGACCACTATCACCGATGCTCAATCACCTTCATGCAAGGTTCGGGCCCGACAATCTCAACTAAGGTATAAGTAAAAGTTTGAACTCATTCCTTAAGGGACATCTTATTATCTGAGTAATACGACCAACTGTATTCTCTGGATATTTTCCACTATCTGCACGTCTGACTTGAGCGTCGGAGGGGTTTCCGCCGGATCAACCCCGGCCTAGTTCACGTTCTTTATGATCGCAGGTATCTCAAGGTTATGAAGCTCGTGAGCCAGTGATCCACTCTGCTCTTCCAGCTCATCCTACTTCAACTATCTAAGGTGATCTAACTTTAGCATCATCATATTTATATTTATGAATGTGATAAATGTCGTTTTAGTTTAAAAAATATTGTTTCAATTTCAAACGTAATTTTAACAATTTTCAAGGCTGAATTTGGCCAAACTCAAAACATGGAATTTATATTTGTTTAAGTTAGCTTTCTTATCCAACTTGAATCACCAGTATTCGATATTGGGTGAAAAATATATACATTAATCAATGAACATTAGCACAATTTTAGTTATGAGTTCTCAAAAGTTCGAAATGTAACTCATTACACGCATAACTTTATCACCAAAAATCCGATCTAATGTATTCAAGTTGGGTTAGAAACCTATATCAAAGGATTACAATTTTGACGTTTTAAAGTTTTTCAAAATCTGACTAGAAAATGGTGTGAATTACTTTCGAAGTCAAAACAGTATTAATAAGATTGAAACCGATATTCCCGTTGCCAACCTGAGTAAACATACACTCTCGTATAGTAGCTTGCAAACCATAGTAAACACGTAAACCACACTTGACACTAGGCTAACCATGTGTGACAGTGCAAGTTTAACCTAACAACCGTTGGCAAGTGAATTCACACTTTGACCATTTAACACTAGTTCTCTTACTCCAACCGCTATTAGCCTATTCCTCACGAGGTATGTTTAGACTTCTTGTTATGATTTTTACTGAAAAATATCACACACATTTTTTTCATTTTGTATATATAT